ATTGCGGCCATTATTGACTAAGTTGGGAATAACTTTGGTTTGACTTTTTCCCAACCATCTGCAATAAGTTCTATTGCCTCTTTGATGTTCAGGTTATTTATCGCTTGCTCTTTGTGTAATTCGTAAACCCATTTGGACACTAAAAGGTTTTCATTGTTGCTGCTGTTTGCAAAACTATCCATATTAAAATTGGGCTTATAATTAATTCGATAAGGATTTTTTTTAATAGCGGGAAATTATGATGTGGCTTAACGGTCATCTGGTTTGTTAAAAGTTTTTGACCTGATTGCTTTTCAGAGCGGTTTGATATTTTATTAATAAATTCTTAACATTTTTAACAAGAACGTAGTAATAGAAATTATATCCACAAACCGCGGGAAAAAACAATTTAATTTTTTTGATATGGTGATATTAGTATCCTATATAATAAATTAGATGTATCTAATGTTAGTACCGTATACGGACGGCAAAATACTGGTGCTAGGAATAAATGTGAAGGGGGATACACAGGTGGGATATATCTGAGGTTGGGATATTAAAGGGTGGGGATTTAAAAGAGGTATACTGTAATGGAATTACTACTAAATAAGGTACTTTGTCAATGGATCTATATCGGCCGCAGCTGCCAAGACCTCGCAACAGCAGATATAAAAGCTTTTGAATCTTTGCTTTGCTTTGGAACACGGAAAGATGAGATTCCTGACTTTGTTTCTGATATTTGTAATCGCCAGCGCGAACATTTTTGATGTACAGGCCAACGACCTACCGCGGTAAGCGAATGGTGAACTTTATAAAATCTTTAGTGGTAAATAAGGTTAGATTAATAAATAATTTTCCTTTTCCAGCCTAGCATTTAAAAGAATACGCCAATTTAAGTATACCAGTAATGGAACGCTCAAGCGACGGAATCAATCAAACTTAACAGATATCGGCAGCGACATTGCTGTAAGTGAATAGCTTGACGGCTTATCAAAGTTATGTAATCCCTTTTTTTAACGTCACTCGTATTGCTCATTAGTATGTA